TACCTTCTGAATAAGCCACACATTCTATTGAGAGACACAAGTCGCACGTTTCAAGAAGCGGAAGCACCCACTGAAGCAATGCACAGCCTAAGACAATGAGAATGAAACCTGCCAAGGCAAGACGTGCGCGGAAGTAGCCGAGACGGCGACCATATGTTATGTACGGAACGACCACCAGACATAAAATGGCACCCACAACGAGACCGGTCAAAAATGATGCCACGCTAATCAGATAAAACGTCCCCAGAAATGATACGAAGAAAATCAGTGCAAATAGTTTAAAGGCCTCCCATAATGGGTGTTGCAGAAAGCTCCAGGCTTGAAACAATTCTATGACAGCCACGCCAATGATTCCAGCAACGCCAGCAGTGGAGCCAACATGTGGAACATAAGGCTCCAGCCTGCTTGCAACCTGGGGAAGAAGGACAGTGGATAAATGGTAGATCACCACGCTAAATATTCATCTGACTTAATTAAGAGATTACACTACACTTAACTAAGAAAATGCGCAGTTCTTAAATAAGAAAATTCAAAGTAATAAGAGAATTAATAGTACCCAGCTAAGAGAATTCGTATAACCCAAGATAATACCCTGTACTTAACTTAGAGCATACACAGAATTGACCTAAGTTGAGCTGAGTTGAGTCAAGAATTGACTTCACATCATTCGGGGCATTCCCATACGTGCTCCGTCGTCATCTTCAGCAGCCAGCGCAGAGCTTCAAAACCGATGGCACCAGTTACAATCTGTTTATTTGTCCGTCTTGTCTTTCCTCTACTACTGGGGTGTAGTGAGCCGGCCAGACCCTCTGGTTACACCCAGGTGCCTCATTCTCTCCAGGCCATAATAATCTTTTTTCTCTACTGACTCTACCAAAGGGCCTTGACCACATGTGCCTTGTCATGTATCAATTCACCACCTAGTGGTGCAGATCCAGCCAATCTATCCACCTTTTCATTACGCCAGAATGGCCTGGAGAAAAGATCCAAAGTATGCTCACTACCCGTGACCTTCCCAGTGAAGCTTGCCACTCTGCTCGAAGCATCCCTATCTTCACTTTCTTAGCATGCTTTCAGAGTTTGTTGCAATTACAACACGTGTACGCATCTTGTTCTCTAGCCATCAGAGAGCTGCAGTTGCCGCCTCCACCCCACCTCCATTATCATGATAGATGTTGTGATGTCGTATGCTAGGCTGTCTTGTACTAAAGATTTTCCATTAGCTTTCGAAGGAGAATACACAATGAATGATGTGGCCAAAATCCGGTTGCCTTTACCTCAATACTTTATCTGGTACCCATGTAAGCCAAGGTCATGTTTAGAAAATATGCGGCTCCATGCGGACTTCAACCCAGGACATTCGGATCCGCAGAGAAGCATCTAGCCGCTGCACCACAACGGTTTCTAAATACACGGTATTTAACTAAAAGAAATGTAAAGTACTTGGATTATATACAATTCTCAAGGCAGTCAGGCTTTATTAAACTAAAGCAAACAACCCATTTCAGGCTTTTGGGGCATCGAGAGTATGTAACTAGACTTGTTTGTTTATAGACCAGTTGGCACTCGATGGCTGATGCGGGCAATATGCCGCCGGCCGGGTTCACTTCAGCTGCCACGTTTTATATTGTGCTTTTGTGATTAGTATTTTTTTTTAGAACCGCAGTGGCTTACCTCCACTGCCAGTGGCCACGCATTGGTGCCAGAATTTTATCAAACTTTACTTCAGATTTTCACGTCTGACCAGTGTAAACGGATACCACAAACACAAAAGATTCCCCTCTGTAGTTAATCATTGATAGGTTTCTTGATGTTCATCTTTATTATAGATATCTTGCCAGACAATAGGGCATGTGGTTTTATAGCATTAGAAGAGGAGCGGCTGGTCGAACAGTTGGAACGCTGGGCTCTCAAGTAGGAGACCCGGGTTCGAATCCTCGGTAAGGCTGATTATTTCTGTCAGGAGCAAAATAAAATCCTCACCTGCACAGTCGTGGCGACAGCACTAGCCATGCGGCGGTAAATCCTCAGGCTCAAAGCTCCCCTTTTTTCAATAGCACTAGAAGCATGTTTTTTCCTGTTAGCACTTGCAGTTCCGTCGGCTCTGTTGCTAACTCGATGCTAACGGTTCGTTATGTCAGAATGCTGGGTTCGATCCCAGCTGCGGACCATGCGCCTTGCGTTGGTTTTGACAGTGGTATCAAGAAAGCCGACGGTCCAGGAAGCAATGGCAAACTACTGGACGTAAATTTGCCTAGAAAACCCACACAACAGCCGGGGGCTGTTGGGGTTGGTTATGCAACGTCCTGTAAAGGATACGCAACTAACTTAACTTGCAGTTCCAAAGAGAGTAAACCTTGAACTGGTTCTGTGTTCTCAGATGCCATTAGTGCATCCGCCTCACAATTAGAGAGTTCTCCCTCAACTGCACTTCCGACTTTACGACTGCCAGGAGGCAGACTACAGGGGGACAACTGCAGTAACCACTGCATACTAACAGATATTATAGATTCAGCGGTAAAGATAAAAAACAAAGTTAGCATCAGTGAGCACATCAGGAAACTATACTGCAAGAAGCAGAAGTCATGATTTCAAGACTACATACATGACTTCAAGACTACACACTTGACTGAAATTATAATTTTGTTTTTGACTGAATTGGGGTAAAAAAAAAACTATCGAATATTATTTGTACAACTGTTTAGATGCGCATACATTTTACATTAGTGCATGTAGGCACATCCGTATCATATGCTTGTAATATTATTTGATCTAAAATATATCAATCAATAACTTCTCAATCTTTTCAGGATGACATTTTTCGTTCTTTGAAGCCCTACTCTGGCTCTTGCCAGGGGCCGCAATAAAGCCTGGCCATAAATATGGCCTAAAGGCTGAACGCGGTTTCTAAGACCTCTCCACGGTGATCCTCACCCACATGGTGGCACATTGTGTCATCGGGTGTTTATCGCTTGTGTGTTGTCCTGATGGGGTAGAAAGTCAGACAGTTAGTCAAACATTTCAATATCTACATATAAGCTAAAATTGCGATAGAAAGTTAAAAGAGAGAAAAAAAAATGGAACTGGTAATGGAAATGTACGCAGACTTTCCTCTTCGTCTTTAAAATGAAATACATTTGCTTTGATATTTTGAAAGGCATTTCAAACTACTGAACGTAAAATTGTCTACTTAAATCACAGCCAACAAATGCTGAATGTTGGTTCTGCAACGTCCTGTAAATAACACGCAGCCAACTTTTGTTGTTTTTGATATGGTATGCGAATAACCTGTTTTTTTAAACTACAAGCGGAGCCATTAATATAAAAATTTATAAACTTATAAATCGTGTACTTCGTTGATGTGTAAAACACGCGACAAGTACTATGAGTGTTCTAAGAGTTTTGATAGCAGTTCAATTACTTAAAACCATTTATGTGTTAATGCAGATTCAAAGAAGCATAAAGACCGTCTTTTGTTACCTAAAAAGGTAAAACACGTACATTGATTAAATGGAGAAAGGGACAAACGGAAAGGAAAAAGGCAAAGACAGAAAGAAAATCTCACCAATTCTCCTACTATTGCGCTGCTCACATAGATAATCATCACTCTGTGCCAGCCAATAGCCTTCTCCAGTTGCATCATCATACTTAACTCAATAGATATCAGAATACCACAGTCAATGATCCCATAAGTTAAGGGTATCGCCGACAGATACCGCCACCATTGCCACTTGGTGTTGTGTCCAGGCAGCCAGGGAACATCGTCTCCAAGATGAATCACATCATCCTTCGAAAAGCTGGTTAGTTTGCACACCTCTTTTAAACAGTTCACCTAAGAAACATTTACATTTCTGGTCTCAAAACTGTCGCTTCCTTCAGTTTTTTTTTTAAGTTTAAAGGCACAATAATGCCATTTATTATGCCTTTCCCGCGGCTTTACAGAATGGTAACCAAGCAGGCAATAGGGCACCAGCGCAGCGACCAGCACAACGTAAACCAAGCACCAGCAACAATCAGCTTAAGTCCACAGATATTGATACTAAGAGAACTGAACCAGTCCAGACCCAAAACCCCAAGTACCACACCGGTCTTAGGAAGACACAGAACAGGAATATTAAGTCTGACTTCAAAAATAATAGGAAACCAAATAAGATAGCAAAGGAACCTTCCTTTATATAGCAGGCCTCCGGGCGGCTGAAGAAGAAACAAATTTGGAATTTTTGTTGGACAACTGGAATTGGAAATTGGAATTGGAATTTATTATTCCAAAGTACCTGGGCGTCAGTGCGAATATGTAAGTATAGTTAAATAAAGTTGCATTTGGAGAAGCAAGAAAATATGATAATTCCTCTGCTATGAAAGTAATTTGTATTTAATATTAAAATGTCTTAATAAGGGAGTTACACATGTCTGTCTGTTCTGCTGGTCTGTCTACCTGCCTGTGCCCTTGTGTGAGCGTGTATGTATTTGAGTATGCGCTCTGCTATTAGTTACTTTTGGCTGTTCAATATACTGGTAACGTTGGCGTAAAAAAAAAAAAAAAAACCCACATATGAAGAGCCAAAAATTTCTCTCTAGCTTGGTCTTTATATTCACTGTCACACATTAGAACAGTAAGAAGTAACACTTAGATACCCTGTTTCTGATGTTTACAAAAAAAAAAAAAAAAAAAAAAAAAAAAAACGACAAGCAAAATATCTGTCCTCTTCTAAAATTGTCTTTTCGCTTGGCCTATCCTGTTCTCAATATTCCAACAAGCACCATCCATCTGAGGCCGTGCTGCCTCCACATGTTTGCAGTTTTTGACATGGTTAGACTGGAAAGAGAAGAAAGACGTAGAGCAAGAGGTAGACCAAGAACAAGATGGAAGGATAACATCAGAGAAACTCTACAACAGCACGATGTGCCTATGGTCGAGGCAGCCAGAAAAGCTAGAAACAGAACCTTATATCTCCCTCGACACCCACAGCGGTAAAAGAGGAAGTGAAGAAGAGGAAGAAGACATGGTTAGACATTTTTCTTTCTACCAAAATTCTACTTTAGTACTATCGTTTCCTTCTAAATAACCATTATTTCTGGTTGCTTTGCATTCAAGGAGAGTATTTCTCTAGTTTATTTCAGTTGAAATGGCCTGATTTATTTCTCTCTATCAAACGCCATGGCATTCTACTGAAAACAATATAAAAAATTATGAGTCGAAGAGAAAAGAACAGAAAAGCGTCAAAAGATACAACAATTAAAAAAAAAAAAGTGCGTATCCTTTACAGTACGTCGCAGAATATGCCCCAGTATTTGTTGGCTGTTTGCGATTTTGTAGAAAATTTTACGTTCTGTAGTTTGCAGTTGCAACCACTTTTATCCCATCGAACGACATGACAATATACCAAAAACTATAATGGAGATTACTAGTTGAAGAGGAAAGAAGATATATATATATATATATATTAGAAACGAGCCAACAACAGCGATCCGACGATCTAGAGTTCAACCACCAATGGTTCAAGTAGTTCAAACAACTTTTGGCTCGGCACTATGGATATCGCAACCCTTCGGCCTTGATTACATGTTAGATACCGTAAATCTTGGAAAAGTATGGCTTTTTCTGCCAACAACCACCCCCCCCCCCCACTCCCCTCCGGGTGTGAACCCGGACCACAGAAGGGCTTCACCCGGTCGCCGCGAAGTCAGGTTTAACCAGCTACGCTAGCGAGCCGGGCAATCAGAGGGTCTAAATATGTATTCCTAAACATATGGCCTACAGCACGACTTTGAATGTAATAACAATAATAATAAACTGAACAGTGATTCTTTTAAATATACTGTGTCTGATGTAACCAACAGGAAGAAGTAGTAATAAATATGGAAACAAGTAATCACTAGATCTGCTGCACAACATATGAACACATTTGATCTAATTTGTCCTCATGTCTCTTGTTTATTTAATGCGTCCACTGCCATTTTTATGATTCATTCACTTCTACAATTTAGACTGCATCGAGGCTGCTTTTACTCCCTTTGACCATTCTAATCCTTCCTCCTAAACCACACTCTTTACAACCTATCCTAGATCACACCCGAGAGTGCCAACTGGGAAGAAACTGGTCTAACAGAATGCACAGCAAAGTTCAGGCACGGACGACAAGAGGGATGGGCCTGGCTACAAAATCTGGTCACGTCACTAGTACAGGCTGACCAAAAATGGCTGACACATGTGTTTCAGGTGTGTTTGGTCACCGCCGTCTCAAGAAAACGCCTCCCATTTGTTCCGTCACTGAGAATGAAGTTAGAAAGATCGGGAGTACACGGGGAGAGCTGCATGCGATAGCAAAGGATAGAACGACTTGGCATAAGTTGGTTGAGGCCTATGCTCCATTGGGGGCTAGCAAGGCAGAAGATTTGCATAGTATTGTCTAATCTATGTGTGTGTCGATGAAGGCTCCATAGCCGCACCGTTTACGTTTTGCTTGTATTTGTTATTTTGTTAAGCTCGCTGATATACTTTTCATTCGTTTTTTCTGATATACTTTTCATTCGGTTTTATATCTTTCTTTGAACCTTTTTTTTTCTTCCAGGTCTCACCTTCTTTGGTATATGGCAAAGACCCCCACGCCCTCTTGAGTATAGGACAAGGCTCCCACGCCCTCCTTGTGTGTATAACAAAACCCTCACACTCGTTGAGTATACTACACGATCTCCACCCCCCCCCCCCCCCACCCACTTTCCCCCCTTTCCTGACATAATAAAATGAGATTAAAGAGGACAGTAAATTCCACAACAAGAGAAACAGAAAGTATGGAGATACGTTTTGATCAGAATGTATTCTGAACCTATAATTAAATACCCATATCATATTAATACGATTTTTAACGGTGGATGTATACATTTCTCTTGGAAAAATCATTGTCCTTTTGTCTGATAAATAATATAAACAACATTTTATTTATAATTAAACTAAAACAAAATGTTGGTATAATGAATTATTACAAGTACAAATGCACTCTGATCGAACGGGTAGAACGCTGGGCTTTTAAGCGGGAGACCCGGGTTCGAATCCTCGGTAAGGCTAAAGATTTTTTTCTGTCGGGGGCAAAATAAAATCCCAACCTGCACAGTTGTAGCGACAGCCCTAACCATGCGGCCGTAAATTCTCAGGCTCAAAGACCCTCCTGCCTACACGACAAAAGTGGTATAATAAAGGTAGTAATTGACAAATGCACTCACTTTCGACATTACATGAGGGTTTCCTCCCACCCCCCCCCCCCGCCCCCGCCCCCCAAAAATTGGAGACCACTGCTTCAGTATGACCTTGGCTCCCAGGTCGACGCTGCCTTAAATGGGTCTAGTTAAAACTCCTGGGAGTAAAGGTGACCGCCTAATGCTGACCCCATCACACACAAAGTGCCGATGGGTCTATGAAATATAGGTCTAGTCCTATATGCCCAATACGGCTGAAAGCTTCGAAAGGGCTCCTTTACTTTTACCACGCCTTTTGTGGTTCTCCATCTTTCACTGTCATATTATTTTACAGTAATGCTGAAAAAGTTGATGGCTTAAAAAGTACCTAGTATGCTGTTTCATACTGTAAAAAAAAAAAAAAAAAGTCAGGGAGACACTGAACTATGGCGGACGATGTCAGCTACTTACCTGAACACAGTGATCACATTCTGTATGAAAAACTCCATCTAATGCATTACAATGTTCGTGAGATATCATCCTACAGGCCCCGTCGCGACCCGCACAACATGGCTTGATGACGTGGGCCACGCTGTTCTTGGTCTTTGGCCGGTCACTGCAGAGGATGCCCCTCGTCCATTTGCCGACCCCTGGCGGAAGTTCATGAACATAATGTTTATCACTTTCTGTTTCATCAGCGACCGAGTAGCTGGATTTAATTTACAGCTTGGCTATCATTCAGAGAGGTAATGATCAATGATAGCGAATATGAAAGGATAATTGAATTGATAACGAATGAATGAAATGATGTCAGACCACGCCTTCCTTGTACCACATTTTACAAAAGTAACGTGTCATTGCTAGCATCTTTCGAAGGTTGTCATCACAGTGGGTGGGCACTGCATGAATCCGATTCCTGCAGTCGTAGACCCTAAAATTGATTTCATTTGATTTGATTCCAGAATTGACATCACAGCATTCGGGGCATTTCCATAAACGCCCTGTCCTCATCTTCAGCAGCTAGCGAAAAGTTCTCATACTAATGGTGCTAGTAGCATTCTGATTAAACGTCCGTCTTGCCAAACCTCTGAGCTCCGAGCATCTGACAATACCTCTCGTCACCCCCCATCCCCTTGCATCAATCTCACCAGACTGTGGTGATCCACCTGCTCCTCCGAACTGTACACGCTCTCCCACAAGGCACTAACCACGTCTGTCTTATCATGCGTCAGTACTCTACCAAGATGTGCAGAGCCAGCCAGTCTGTCCGCCTGTTCATTTCCCAACACCGGCGTTTCCGGTGAAAAAAAATCCAGACAATACTCCTCACCCGTGTCCTCTGCAGCAGCGAGGCATGCCACTCTGCACGAATCATGCCTGTCCTGATCTTCCTCAGCATGCTTTCTGAGTCAGTTACAATCACGATGTGTGTGTGTGTGTGCGCACGCGCGCGCTTCCTGAGTCAGTTACAATCACGATGTGTGTGTGTGTGTGTGTGTGTTCTCTAACCACCGGCTCCATTCTTAAGCTGGATGTTGTGGTATTATATGCTAGGTTCTCCTGCACCAAACGTCGACCATTAACTTTTGCCAAGAAACCCCAAGCACTTCTTTTACCTCTTGACACTGAACCGTCTGTGTAAATGATAAAATCCTCTGAGCGAGCATTATCTTGAATTAATTGCTGAATTTCAAACTCCGTGGCACCTGCTGGCCAGTCTCTACATTCCCGGTTCATTGTGATTATGACCCTACACAAGTATGACTGTTCAGGTGGCAATTTGACCCACTCCTCTCCTCGCCTTGCTCAAGGATGCAAACCTGTCTGATTTTGTCTTCTGCCTGAGCCATCGATGACTTCCCTCTTATCAGCCGCTGACCCTTAACTGCACCCAGAGATTCGTGCAATGGGTAGTCTGTGTCTGCATCAACCCTGCACCTTGTACCTACCTGCAACAGTCGGCAAACCAAGGATGTATCGCATACACACTACTGGGGTGCCTCTGATGCAACCCAGAATGACCCGCATAGAAGCGTTCTGTATGCGCTCTAGTTTGTCCATCTGACTATTTGAGACGGTAAGCAGTCCTAGGCCATTATCAACCACTGACAGGATCAGGTGCTGGTAAAGTGTGAAAAGCATTCTTTGCTCTATGTCAATTGCAGCCATAGTCATAAGTGCTGCAAGTCCTTTTTAGCATCTCGTCACAACACTCTCCACATGGTCCTTAAATGACAGGCTCCTGTCAAATGTAATTCCCAGATACTTCAGTTTGCTCTCTCTGTTGACGTGTCTACCATCTATCGTGAGACTTGGGGCATTAGCATTAACGATAATGCAGCAAGAACAAAGACCATCACAAGCACTACATCTCAGAAGATCAGCTACAAGAGCAAGAGGATGGCCACGGAAAATATGGATCGACAAAATTAAAGACACTCTACATCTTCACGGCATGACAATAGCCAATGGCAGCCAACGTGCACTCAATCGCAAATTATTCCTCCCCACGACGCTTAACGACAGAAGAGGTTTATGATAATGATGATGATGACACAGACGGTTCCGTTTCGCAGGTAATTGTCAGCATGGGTCAACACTGTACAAAGTATAGGGGGAAAAAATAAAAGCGGATATTTACAAACGCAACGACGTCAAGCATGACCATGTAAAAAACCGCAGCTTCTAGAGAAGAACAAGCAGTCACACAAGCAGTAAACAACTCATGAACAAGTTTAAGAAAATAACTTCGAGTAATATACAATCTCCCTGAAAGTAAAGGTGGCCAGCGTGATGCTGACCACATCACCTATCTTGTGCCGATTGGTCTATAAAATATAGATCTAGCCCTATATGCCCTATATGCCTAAAGGCGGGGAAAAAGTGTCTTTACTTTACCTAATATACAATCTGAATGTGTGGAAACCTTCGGAAATCTCAGTTTACCCTCCTCAGCTGGATCTATTCATATGAACATGCCGGCGTAAAAAGTAATGCATGAGCTGACCAACAGGAAAGCAATGCGCCAATGCATGCAGAAAGAAACATGGGCAAAGCAGATATTACCAACGTTGTATGGACTAGGCTAATGGATAATGACAAATCTTTGGCGCAGACAGATCATTACGCTCTAATGAGAATGGCGCTGCGAGGAGTTACCAGGGGATCTGGCCGACGCTCAACACCCAGACAGAGGATGAGACGGATATACAATTAGACGGTTACTGGTACCATTGGAATTGGAACTCTTCGCTTGATGCTGAAGATGGTGACGGAGCACTTATAGGAGTGTCCCGAGTGCTGTGATGTCGATTCTTAATTCAACATTCAACACTCAGAGCAAAAAATCAACCCAGTGGGCGAAGAAAAAAGAACTATGGAGTGCCATGAAGTTTAACGCCATCTGGTGAGATACGACCCTATGAGGATAAGTAGCTCCTCGTAAACATGTTTCAAGTGTGATAGTCTGTAACGAAAAGGTAAGTCAGTTTACCTGAAGTCCATACGTCACACTCAGCCTCCGTGGTTGTCCCCGCCCTGTTGAGTGGAGAGACCATTTCACAGCAGCCGAAATAAGACCAGTTCTCTTCAATCAACATCCTATATCCTTGGTTTGCAGTGATGGTCTTCAGGAGCTCCAGAGGCCTCATACAGGAAGCTACTACCGCCCCTGCATCTAGCAATAGGATTAAAAACAAGAGAGGTGTGAAGGAAAAGGTAAAGGTGTACTAGTACTATGTCTTTTAATATTCTTTTGCAATCCACCGGGGCTCCTGATATGGCGAGAAAAAAAAAATGTCAAGTTTCCGAGATGGGATGCTGCCTACCAGCTAATTCTCCTTAAAGTTCAGATCTAATAAGATGTCATTATATATTTTCATCTTGGTCTGTGATTTTTAGATAATCTTTCCATATAATTTCAGCCTCTATTTGCTTCTATAATGACTGCGAGATCATCAGTAACTCCCGTCCGTCTGTTTTTACAGGGAAGGTGCAGGCTAAAAAGTGTTTTTCGTTGATTTCCTTGCTGATGCTTAGCTCTAGATCTTTAATGCTGTTTAATCTTTGTATTGCTGCGCTCCCCCTTCCTCCTGACTTCTGCTGAACAGTCTCAATTGATGTTTATTAGGAAGCCTAGATATTCAAAGTGTGTGTGATATATTCTCAGCTTCGTTAACAATTGTTGTTATTTTTGGCCGACAATAACCCACTAAAACCATAAACTCAACACACATACCCTAATCTCAGCCAGTACACTTCGCACAAAAAAAAAAATAAACCAGACCAGAAATATAACCAAGTGTTGCAGACAGCTTCTCTGCTAGTAGCAGACTGAACGTGATCGAAGTTTTGTATTTTTCTAAAGTTGACAGAGACTTAAAATCACTACATACCAAGAAAAAAGTGTACTGGTGGCCCCAGCCACGGATTCGGCTCTGCCAGAGAAACGATCGTCTCTGTTCCCAAGAAAGTTGGAATCTGGAGCTTCTCTCGGTTTACTAATGCCATTCTTGCCTCTGAAAACCCGGCCCTTAAACACAGCACAGTCAGCAGTAATATCTGCAACTGTAATATTTACACACGAGAACTTATCACTTTTCCGAGTATAACAACATAGAGCACGACATTAACAGAGGCAAAAAAGCTTTCACTTTACTGTCTTCTTGACTTCTAGATCAAGGAACAGTTTATTTTACTTATATACTTTTTTAGTAGTAATTTTCATAAAGAATATATATATATAAAGTGCATGCATTGTCAAGGTTCGTCAGTTTTAAAAAGCCTGAACCCTAAATTTATTGTATAGTTTTAGAATAAAGTTACGCATTTTCAGTTATAATATTATTTTATTTTAACATACGCAGTGGAGCATAAACAAATTCCTATGGAAAAGGATGAATATAAAATTGGGTCAGTTCAAATTGGATGAAGAAATAAAGATAAATGTCTGGGCATCCACTATGGTTCGTTCAACAATAGATAAACACACTTGCAAGCCATTTTCTCGAAAACTGCCTGTTATGATTTTTTTTGTGTGCAAGCAGCCTTAGAATATCCATGACACAAAAATAGTTGTATTCTTTAGTCCATAAATGCTCATAATGCTGAATGTCAGCCAATTCCTTTGATCTTTTCGGACCACCGTAAAAAGGCAGAGTGAACTTTTAGATTTTACAGTACTAGGTTAGTTGCGTATCCTTTACAGAACGTAGCAGAACCAACCCCAGCACCTGGCTGTTGTGTGATTTCTCTAGGCAAATTTACGTCCAGTAGTTTGCCATTGCGTTCTGGATGGTCGGCTTCTTGATACCACTGTCGAAACCAACACAAGGTGCATGGCCCGCAGCTGGGACCGAATTCCGCACCCCCGCATTACGAAGCGTTCGCATCGACTTGGCCACAGAGCCGACACAGATTTTACAGTAAACATGTCAATTTCCGATCCTATTTTTTTAAAGAGACATGACTTCACAATATATTGATAGGGGAAGTAAATTTATTTGTTGTCATTTATGTTCAATTGAGATGAGCTGAGTCAAGAAAAACATCACAGCACTCGGGGCATTTCCATAAGCGCTCTGTACGCATCTTCAGCAGCCAGCGCAGAGTTCCATTACTAATTGTACAGGACGCAGTATGATTGTATGTGCATCTTGCCATTCCTCTTCGACTAGCAATCAAATATGACTTTTCACAAATAATATTCCTTCCACCTACAGTTTTTTCTGAAAGTAAACCCGGTGGCTCTTACAGTTTACAGACTACTTTTGAAATGTCAATACTGCCTTGTGATTTCAATGTTAATTTCAGTTTTCGGAAAGTAACAAGTTGATCTGTCTCTAACATTGTTAAGATCTCACGTCTAATGACATCTACATCAAAGTCGTCAACTTTCCTTTCTTCCTTACTTGACATGAGCGTACTCTGTGTCCTGTCTAATTCAACGGGTAAATGATGCTTTATCCAGACCAAGCGCCAATCGTGTTCGTTTCTCTAGGTCATCTTCTTCTTGTTCTGTTGTCGTCTCACTGTCACTAGACTGTAGCCCAGTGTGATGGTTTTGTCGTCTCACTGTCACCAGACTGTAGCCCAGTGTGATGGTTTTGTCGTCTCACTGTCACCAGACTGTAGCCCAGTGTGATGGATGGTTTTGTCGTCTCACTGTCACCAGACTGTAGCCCAGTGTGATGGTTTTGTCGTCTCACTGTCACCAGACTGTAGCCCAGTGTGATGGTTTTGTCGTCTCACTGTCACCAGACTGTAGCCCAGTGTGATGGTTTTGTCGTCTCACTGTCACCAGACTGTAGCCCAGTGTGATGGTTTTGTCGTCTCACTGTCACCAGACTGTAGCCCAGTGTGATGGTTTTGTCGTCTCACTGTCACCAGACTGTAGCCCAGTGTGATGGTTTTGTCGTCTCACTGTCACCAGACTGTAGCCCAGTGTGATGGTTTTGTCGTCTCACTGTCACCAGACTGTAGCCCAGTGTGATGGTTTTGTCGTCTCACTGTCACCAGACTGTAGCCCAGTGTGATGGTTTTGTCGTCTCACTGTCACCAGACTGTAGCCCAGTGTGATGGTTTTGTCGTCTCACTGTCACCAGACTGTAGCCCAGTGTGATGGTTTTGTCGTCTCACTGTCACCAGACTGTAGCCCAGTGTGATGGTTTTGTCGTCTCACTGTCACCAGACTGTAGCCCAGTGTAGCCCATGGTTTTGTCGTCTCACTGTCACCAGACTGTAGCCCAGTGTGATGGTTTTGTCGTCTCACTGTCACCAGACTGTAGCCCAGTGTGATGGTTTTGTCGTCTCACTGTCACCAGACTGTAGCCCAGTGTGAGTGGTTTTGTCGTCTCACTGTCACCAGACTGTAGCCCCAGTGTGATGGTTTTGTCGTCTCACTGTCACCAGACTGTAGCCCCCCCCGTCTCACTGTCACCAGACTGTAGCCGCGTCTCACTGTATGATGGTTTTTGTCACCAGACTGTAGCCCTGATGGTTTTGTCGTCTCACTGTCACCAGACTGTAGCCCAGTGTGATGGTTTTTGTCGTCTCACTGTCACCAGATGTAGCCCAGTGTGATGGTTTTGTCGTCTCACTGTCACCAGACTGTAGCCCAGTGTTATGGTTTTGTCGTCTCACTGTCACCAGACTGTAGCCCAGTGTGATGGTTTTGTCGTCTCAATGTCACCAGACTGAGCCCAGTGTGATGGTTTTGTCGTCTCACTGTCACCAGACTGTACAGTGTGCGTCTCACTGTCACCAGACTGTATGGTTTAACGTCTCACTGTCACCAGACTGTAGCCCAGTGTAATGGTTTTGTCGTCTCACTGTCACCAGACTGTAGCCCAGATGGTTTGTGGGGCCTTTGTCGTCTCACTGTCACCAGACTGTAGCCCAGTGTGATGGTTTTGTCGTCTCACTGTCACCAGACTGTAGCCCAGTGTGATGGTTTTGTCGTCTCACTGTCACCAGACTGTAGCCCAGTGTGATGGTTTTGTCGTCTCACTGTCACCAGACTGTAGCCCAGTGTGATGGTTTTGTCGTCTCACTGTCACCAGACTGTAGCCCAGTGTCATGGTTTTGTCGTCTCACTGTCACCAGACTGTAGCCCAGTGTCATGGTTTTCTGTATTTGTCTTGCGCTTTTTGGGCGGCTTGAGTGATGGATGTGTTCAACTTTTTGGAGGTTTTATTTACACTATTGATCCACATTATTCATTGTCCATGTTTGGCACTGATAACATAAAGTAGGGATAAAGATGCTATTAATCATTTGCTGTTTTGATGAAAGCGAGACATGTGGGTGTCTAAGCAGTAGGTCTAACTGGTCATGAATATCACAATATAACTGACCCATCTTAGAATCCCCGAGGAAGTGCTGGTGCAGTAAATGGGTAACCTTTTTTTTTCATAGTTATAAATTTGCATCTCAAATTCATTTTGAAGTTGATGTCAGCTTTTATAAGCTAGCTATATGACACAATAACTCAACACTAATTTGTGGATACGCCTTTGACTAAACAACCTTCACCGACATCTTATTTCGGTTTCCGGTCCCTAAAAGTACGTTTGCACGAGAAAATCATGAAATTACGTAGGTTTTCTTTGACCCCCAGTTAAGCCGGTCATAGTGTGCATTACTTCCTGAAATTAGTAGAAGTAAACCTTCCAAAAGTCTACCAAGACGGTTTCGTGATGAAAATATATATCGTTTAAAAAAAAAAAAAAAAAAAAAAACTACTTAACTTCACATGATATTCTTCTTTAGTGAAAAAAAAAAATTCCTTAGCGTCATGGATATTCTAAGGCTGCATGCAAACAAAACATTGCGATATAACAGGCAGTTTTCAAGAAAACGACTTGCATGTTTGTTTATCTATCGTTGAACGAACTATAATATCCAAAGTTGTAAGACTGTGAAGATGAAGCAATTTTTGTCGCAGCCTGAGAAGCTGAGATTCATCAAACAGGCACTGGGTTAGGAAACTAACAGACTGAGAAGACCAGGACAACCAAAAGAAATCTTAGAGCAAACGTTGATGAGAGAGAACAAAGATGCTGGACTGGAGTCCATCTATCACACTGAACTGATTGCCCAGATTATCGCGGAATGAAGGAATAGACTCCTAGCCCCATATAATGGCACAATAGGATACTGACGATGATGAAGTGACGATTTACAAATTATTCCTGTTCTCGTAAGGGCGTCAACACACTGATTTGCAAAGCTGTTAAAGACAGCCTCTCGAAAAAATGGGACCCAAATTTTGAGTGGGTACCGCAGTGTCCAGTCCCGGGAAAGTAAAGTAGGGGCCGGTGGATGCAGCAAAATCGATTTCTATAAAAATAAGTGCTTACTTAAACGTGCAAAAAGTTTCTTTATCTCAAATTTTTTTTTTTTAAATCCAGCCCTGCGTATTGGAAAACAAAGTTTCTTAATCCAGCCCTGCGTATTGGGAATATAGGGCTAGACTTATTTTCTAGATAGATCGCTACTCCAGGTGTGATGTCGTTGATAGGACTGTGCCTGGTACCCATTTACGGCAGGGTTGACAATTAGCATGTATATTAGCCGCAATACCACAATAACTCCCACAGTTCTAGTAAAACATAAAAAAAAAAAAAAACGTTTAAAGCTAATAATAATATGGGCAACATTTGAATGTTAAATTGGTGCTGTTCATGTCCAGGTCCAGGATTAGAGTAACTTAACTTGCCATTCATGCCTCCTTAGGTCGCTTGACCTCTCCTATGTGGCGGGGAAGTCATGTTTTCCTTATTGTGAAAGGTTGAACCGTTGCCTCTTTTCTCGTCTTCTCATCGATCGCTTGCATGATTATTTTTACTTTCTGCTACCTTCTACCTTCACGAGAATGGAAACAGAGATAATTGTATATTCCTACGCTCCTTGTAGTTTTCTTTTTTTTTTTCGGAAAAAGGGGGGGGGGGGGATGGAGCCACTGCCAACGAACGTAGAAATACAAAAGCATCCCAGTTTCGATAGCAAAAAAAATCGTCGCTTCTGTGGCGCTTCCCCTGCAGTACTTCTTACTTGTACACAGGCGCCTGTGGTGGCTGAAATGGACTCACTACAACACAACCTCCCACAAACATGATATACGCCGAGCGAACGCCAAACAAAGACATATAACACCACTGCAACATAGGATAGGTTCAGCGACCTAAGGAAGCATGAATGGCAGGGAAAGTTATTTTAATCCTGGACCTGAAAACATTAACAGGTCCGTTAAATCTTTGGACATTTAAAATGTTCACTGGAGATTTTAGGGAAAACAAAAATGTTTTAACTAAAATTATAAATAAGTTATAGATGTCAACGACTTACGAATGCTAGCCGAGATTGTGAAATAAGGGAGATAATCAGGAATTTGAGAAACTTGCGTCATGATGTCCGTGAAGCTTTGGTGTTCCTTTGAAAGATTCTGCTTTAGAAACTTCCACCGAGCTAGATTCATTTCTGTAGGGTTGCTGTAGTACTCTGCGAAGGAGACAGTTAAACAAGGCTCATGTAAAAAGAGACCCGCATTGGAAACAAGAGACAGGTATAGCGGACTACGTCAGTGATTCACTGAATGTTCACCGTAGACTAGACTTAGAGACTAAGGAGGTAGGATGCATATTTTTGAAAGTTAAGCTACAAAATCACAAACCTATTGTAGTTTGCTCTCTCTATCGCAACCCTAGTGCTAGTAACATGTGGTATGAAAACGATACCGTCATGATAGATACAGTGTTCAACAATGTAGGATAAATTATACTTCTTGGGGACTTAAATATAAACGCTCAAAAATCCAATAAGACGTGGGAAGACATAACTACATCATACAATCTCCAACAGCTAGACAATCAAGCTACTAGAATAACAAAATCATCTTCAGCACTCATAGATCACATTTATGCAACATGTCCTGATAACATCGTAGAATGCAAGGTACCCACTACAGCAATGAGCGATCATTACCCCGTAACGTGTGTGTGGAATGAAAAAGGAAAGAAAATTACCAAACAGAAACATGTAAGTATTAAATTTAGAAGCTTCAAAAATTTTAATCAAGATACATTCCTACTGGACCTACTCAGTTCACCTTTTGGCTATGTTTATCAACTTCCTGACCCAGATGACGCTCTTGAATATTATCTGAAGACCATTTTTTTGCGTATTTAATAAACATGTGCCAATTAAGGAGGTCCGTGTGAAACATCAGACTAAATCCCCATGGACCACCCAGGAAATAGTTGAAATTATGAGAGAGCAAGATAGGGCACATAAAAATGAAGACTTATTCAGATACCGGGGTCTGCGAAACAAAGTCCAATATGCCATTCGTAGGGAGATGAAGAACTTTTTAAAAATGGTAATAGTTAATAAAACAAACACCAAATATATATGAAAGGCAATGAATACATTGACAAAAAAAAAAAAAAAGGTTCTTCAACGCTTTTACTGACATCTAACATAACATCAGCTGATTTCAGTAATTAATTTGAAGCCGATATAGAACATTTAAAAACCACAATACCAAACTGTCTTTGTGATTTATTCCTGCTATCATCATTTTGCGAGGATAAATGCTCTGAAGATATTTCTTCTGACATACCTCTCATGTCAGTTGTTGATGTGTTTACACGTCTCAACAGCCTCAAAAACAGCAATGCGTCTGGTTTAGACGGAATCAGAAATAGGATCCTTCGCAGTGCTGCACCAGTTATTTGCGAGTCTTTGACTTTTATCTACACGCAGTGTCTTGCTAAAAGCTACTTCCCGTCGGCCTTTAAGATTGCCAGAGTTTATCCACATCTAAAATCTGGTTCCGTAGACAGTAGCATCCCAAGTAACTATAGACCGATCTCCCTGTTATTATCACTAACAAAACCACTAGAGAAACATATTCATAAAGTAACATTTCAATAAAGGTAAGGTAAAGTCGGGAGATGTGAACCAGCGTCATTGCACACGGTTATAAACCATAACTGCTCTGCCACCAGTACGGACAGCTGATAAGAATTGTCCGCTTGTGTCGCCGTTAGCACGTAACTCTGTAGCTACAGCGACGTTCCAGGGTTTCGACCAAAATATTCTTGCCATACTGCCTTAACAAACATGACAGAAAACTGGCATTATAATATTAATGATGAGAAAATATGTGGAGCGGTATTTATAGACTTTAAAAAAAAGCTTTTGACATGATAGACCATAATATTCTTTTTAGAAAATTTGAAACAATGAAATTTAATCCTAGGCTATTACAGTTAATAGAATCCTTTTTGTTGAATAGAAAAATAATCTCAAACAATCAATCCCTTTCGCAGTCAACTAGCTTAAGTACTGGAGTGTCTCACGGTTCTATTTTCGGCCATCTGCTATCCATTATTTATATAAATGATCATCCCCTGTCTGACGTCGTCCTGCTATATATTCGCAGTCGCATCTATGCAAATGATCTAACATGTAGTGTACTAGAGTCGTCATTACAACAAGAACTAACCAATGGAGCTAAATGGAGCAGTGCAAACCGTATGCAAATAAACATTATTAAAAGAAAATCTATGCTAAAACGAGACAAAAACTATGTAGTCTAAATTCACAGAGAACGCTTCCACTCTACATTGGGAGGACTCAAATGGAAAGTGTAACTGAGCATAAAGCACTGGGGTTGATCATTGATGCAAATCTAACATTCAACTCACATATACAAGCACTTGTGAAGCAAACAGCTAAAAAGGTTTACTAGCTTGCAAAAATTAAAAACTTTCTCGATGAAAACACAAGAAAGATATTCTATACTTTTCACATCCAGACATATATAGACGATTGCTCTACATTATGGGATGGCTGTTCCAATTCTGTTATCAAGAGGCTCACGTCACTGCAAAAGCGCGCCATTCGCTTAACAACTGATAAACATTGGACAGTGAGTTCAGTAAAATATAAAGGTCTTAGGCTACTAGCGCTTCGTGAACGTCTACTTTTCAATAAGGCGAAATTTATACACAAAAGATTATCCCAAAAGACTCCATGTTACTTATCTCGTTGTTTAAAAATAATGGAAAGCACAGTAAACGCCTAAACATATTTCACATCCCTAAACCTAGGATAGACCTATACAAAACAAGTTTGGCGTACTTTGCAGCTCAGATGTGGAACTGTCTTCCACAACAGGTCAAAAATACCACTAGTTCCTATACGTACAATCGAAAACTTTTTGAATAATATCTGAGCACAGATTACATGCCCCCATAGAAGACAGAAAGAAAAATAGCGCTCATTTTCCCTAGATTTGTAACAACCACTACGGTTTATTGTAATTAGAAATGTAGAAATTCCAGTGCTTGTTCTGAATATTTAAATGCTATTGATAATGTTTATTACTTGATGTGTGAATGAAATGATGTAAAAATGGACGTAGACTTCGAAGGGCAAAATGTTAGGCAGACCTGAGTGCCCAATTCTTAACCCTTTAAAAATAAAGTTTGTTCGTTCGTTCGTTTGTTCTTGCTTTCCTACCTGTAGTTTTCGGGGCGCAAAGCACAAACTTCCTAGATAACATGGCGATTATCCATTGATTTTCGTAACCCTCCCTGAACTGAACGCTAACCCTCCCTGAACTGAACGCTAACCCTCCCTGAACTAAACGACGTAAAACGAACTTCGACCTTTAGAGTATGAGGCAACCGGCTTGACCTCTTCGCCAAGGACCCCCCCCCCGCCCCCCTATAATAGGTAGAGTGGTCTAGCAGTGTGATACATACAGTACAATTATTGTGGAATTTTTGATAGCTGCAAAATACACAATCATACCCACACACACACGCACATATACACATGCATGCTTACATACACATGAATTATCAGCTTAAACGTGCATCTTTGTCTTGCATATAAATAGGCCAGAGTTGTTAAACGTAAACGTTGTGAACGCAAAAGTATTTCTCAAACAAGACCAAAGTGACGAACGAACAACTATTTCATATCATGAACTTTACATCTGAGTTTACAGTCGGTACACACTGAAAAGAAGCAGAAAAGAAGTTTTGCATTTAGATTATTACAGCAGTTTCTGGAATCACTCATACAGTACCGTTATTGATCGGTGACCATACCTTTGCCTATCCTGACAATCTCTGATAGAGTGTCGAGCTTCCATTGGTAGAGCTGTGTGAAATAGTCCCGTTCTGCCTGCAACCTGAAAATTTTGTATTTGGCGTCCGTCTGAAAGACACACAAATTAGTTAGTCACACGCCTGATAATTCAGCACACTTCATGTGTGTGTGTATGTGAGTGTGTGTGTGTGTGTGTGTGTGTGTCTGTCTGTCTGTCTGTCTGTCTGTCTGTCCGTCTGTCTGGCGGTGACAAGAGGGTTTATCCGGCTCACTACATTCAGCGGAAAGGCAAGACGGACAAATGACCAGATTGCGACAGATACAATTAGTATTGGAACACTGCTCTGGCTGCTGAAGATAGGGACAGAACGCCTATGGGTCTGTCCCGATTGCTGTTATGTCAATTCTTGCCTTAACCCAACTCAACACCATGTGATCTTTGGTGTTGAGAGCTTTTCCATAAATATTTATGACTGAATCAGTTTGTTGACTATATTTCTCTGTTAATTTATGACTGAATCAGTTTGTTGACTATATTTCTCTGTTAATTTCTGACTGAATCAGTTTGTTGACTATATTTCTCTGTTAATTTCTGTGTGATGAATAAAGGTCTCAGATCCTTCCTTTTGGTTTTGTTGTCTCTGTGTCTTCTGCAAGGTCATCTGAATATTTTATAATGTTCGCCCTAATTAAAGAATTCCCTTACACAGCTCACTATCTCAAAGACTGTTTAAAATACTTACCATAGCTAGTAGTTTGTAATACAAGTAACCACTGCGTCCCGTCAGATAGTACCTCATATCCGAAGCACCAGTTTTCTTTTGCCTTGTCTATAGTAATAAAATAACAAACAAATAGAAAACACACATTGACAAGAATATGAAAACAAAACTGCTTTCATTTCTAAGTTGTATATAACAAAGAAACGTGTTTTGTTCGGCGCTCATAGAGGTTTGAGGTTTGAACAACGGATCAGCATCATGGCAGATGGGTAGTAACCGTGCTCTTTTCTTCGTCTAAATCAAGTCTGAGTCCAAAAAAGCTCAGCACAGTTCACAATCTCTGTAGCACCGGTGAGGATCCAGAAATACTTTGGGTAGATTTTTAATTTAAAATTTTGCCCGGACAGCGCCGTTAAGCTATTCTTTTCGATTTCCAACTGCCAAGGATTTTTTACCTGCGCAACAATGCACACGGGCGTCCGATCTCACTAACCAGAGACCAAGGGGAATTACTAGAAGTCAAAGTCCACGTGAAAAAATCCCACACCTTACCGGGGATTGAACCTGGAACCTCCAGCACTCGAGGTGGACACCATACCTCAAGACCACGCAGCGCCCCTTCCGTCAAGAAAATCCGTCACCGTTAGGATTTGAACCCGCGACCTTTGGATCTGCAAGGGAGCGTCTAACCGCTACACCACAGCTGCTCCCCTCTAGTATTAGTTAGGAAAACAGCATTTAAATTAAATCAATGTGAAGTGTGAATATGAACTGATACATGCTGCAGGAGATCGCAGATTATGGAGAGGCATGATCTCCCACGCTAGTCGGTAAGGCACCTGATGATGATGATGATGAAGTGTAAAAGGTAGAGCATGGCACATTTTCCTTAAATCTGGACAGTTGAAATATCACCTAAACGTGTTCTATTGATACCTACTGTAGTGTCTGAAAGCTGGACAGATACGCTATCATCTAAACGGGTTCTATTGATACTTACTGTAGTCACACTGGCCTGGGAATTATTTGAATTTGTCGTCTTCATCTGTTCTTTAGACTGCACATTCCACCTTCCAGTCAGAAGAGCTAACAGACCAAAAACGGTTTGATGCATCCAGTTAAATGAGACACGAGCAGACCTGAACAGCCAAGACCGTGTTTCTGATTTCACTGAAATGTATTTTTAAAAACAATTTTTGTAAAATCGAACTGTTTTTTGAGTTTATAAACTTATGTTAATCACCACCCCCCCCCCGAACCCCCCCCCCCCCCGAAACACACACACACAAACTCGCTCGTTCAATGTAGATGCGCCTTTCAAGCATTTTTTGTGTGCCTGTTCACGGGTTTACTATTCAATTTTATGTTCAGTAGTTTGCCGTTGCTCACTGCATGGTCGGGCTTTTGATACCACTGTCGAAATCAAAGCAAAGCGACCTACTACCAAATCACCTACTTCTAAAAATCAACCCGGGTATCTCCGAGTTAGGAAGCGCTTTCGCAACGCTCAAGACACAGACGAGGATGAGGATTTTCTTAGCATAACAAACAACAACAAAAAAAGTTAACAATAGCAGAGTTCTGAGACGCGCGCACACACACACACACACACACACACACACACACACACACACACACAGAGAGAGAGAGAGAGAGAGAGAGAGAGAGAGAGAGAGAGAGAGAGAGAGAATTTGCAATAATAAAGTGGAACGAATGTATAGAAAAAATGACAGCGTTAGGAACAAATGTAATTTTTATCAACATAACTGAATTGCAAACATTAGTAAACAACTATTTCTAAATGGCGAAAAACAGATTAATTAAATCTGATTCAAACTCACCAACAGAAGAATAACAAATGTAAACATGTAAATAACCTACTGGTTAAAAATTTAAACACCCCCCGTCTGGCGTACAGTATTTCACATCCTTTTAGAATTCCTTTCAGGGCACATTTATGTCACAATGGCAGTTTGAGTTTTCTTGAAAAATACTAGCCAAGAATATTTAAACATGACGTCAAACTTTAGCCTGAAATTACCCTGTTTTTTTTTTTTATTGTGCTTCTTGCTGACCACACAGCTTATCTTGGGAGTCAATAGCTGCTTGAGTTGTATTCTTGCGGTTTCCTTTCACTTTCTAAGCCCACATTCTTGAGGAGTTGTCAAATGATGTTTCATTAGACACGCTAAATTGTGTTGACTTACCAAGATCGTCAATTTCTGCTGTTTCCATTGTTGAACTTTGTGTGCTGACGACTTTCGTTGATCGTTTTATTGTTTTCTGTGTGGATGCCTCGGCTTCTGTTAAATCCGTTGCAGCAGTCTGTTCTATTTTACAAAGACCTGTCTCTGCTGATTTTAGCTCGCTGTTCCCTTTAACAGAATTTAGGAAAGATTTTACCAAATGCCCACTACTTGCATGCTGGTCATCGACTGAACTGCCAAAGCCAGATGCATCAGCTGTTGTATGTATAATCCAATGGCTTGGGGATGCTGCACTCAAGTAAGTATTCCAGCTTGGAGGTGACGGATGTGAAGGTCCGTCATGATTGTCTGTTGCAACCTGTTCTTCAATCGAGGAAGTTGCATCGCCGACTAAAGCGTTCCAGTTCAACCCACAAATATTTTCATTTGTTTCGCTGTTTCTGCAGACATCATTAGTAAGTAAACACTCGCTTATTGTTTTTAATTTTATCGGATTGATTTTTGCAGGGTTATCTTGCTTTATTTGTGAAAAGACTTGAAAATAACTCAGATTACTCGGATTATCCACAAATCTAAGTAATGGTCGTCTGCTGGGGATAGTATTAGGACATGTTTTCAAACTAGTGTTCTCTTCAGAACTGTGATTTTTGATATCTTCTGTACAGATGTCTCTCATGTAGCCATGATTGTTATTTACTTTATTTAGGCTGCAATTTTCTTTTGCTGGAGACAAGATTTCCTCCCATAGCAAATCTAGACCATCTTTATATAACAACAGTTCATTTAGATCTTTCTTACTGTATAACTCGAAACCAGTCTGGCTGATCTGATTGAAATCTTCCTCGGCTACATAATTATTGTTTTGTACAAGCGCGCCGTGGCTGGCCTCTGACTGGTTGGTCGCCAGGTCAGAATGTGAGCTGTAAACGATATATTTTGATAAATTGTTACCTTCGGTCAGTTTAGGTGAATTAACATTTTCAAACGTATTTTCTCTAGAGTAGACTGAGGGCAGACTGGTAGCGCGCATGAGTCTGCAGCTGCCGGTGTCATGGCTAAATGTAAACAGATCTTGATTGAAACAGATCATATCTGGCCAACTGGCACAACGCTGAGGTATAATATCTCCTGTCCGTGAATTCAGAGCAAACCGAGACTTTCTTGCTTGAGTGGCTGACTCTTGATGTTTATCTGTTCCGCTGATTAAATATATGCAAGTTTCTTCTTCACTGAGGTCATTTCCAACACCGACTGTTGACGACTGGTTAAGATCATAACGCGTCTCTTCGACGCCACAATAGCGCTTTGATGCTCTGTTTGTGGGTTCACTGCACCGTCCTTTTCTATCATTCTTCTCTAAATTGTCAATGTACGCACACTGTTTAGATTTTCTCGAATGTAAATTAACGTTACTTGGTTGGTCGGTAAACCACAAATTGTTTAAGCTTTTGTCCTGCTTTACACAAGTCCGAGAAGAAGTCGAGGACGTTGTTGGAAAGTTATTTCCCTTTCTTACACTCTCAGCAGACCCCTGATTTTCCCGAGACAGGCTCTTTACCAGGGATTCCATTTCCCAAAGCACGTCCATCTTCTTATTGTGGAACCATCGAACGGAAATTCCCAGTTCACCTTTCTGGGGAAAACACCAGTAACCATTAATCAACGTAGATATGCAGTTTAGAAAGTTACATCTAAATAAGTTGCATGTTGATACAATCAGTGACTATGTAATGGAAGAAATTATTTCAATATGCAGCCTCTATAGTAGAGACAGAACCTTCTCTCTCTCTCTCTCTCTCTCTCTCTCTCTCTCTCTCTCTCTCTCTCTCTCTCTCTCTCTGTGTGTGTATGTGGGTGGGTGCGTGCGTGCGTGCGCCTGTGTATATATGTGCGGTTATATATGTTTCGTTTTTCACGTATGGACTAAATTTTAAAAAAAAATGTTGCCATTTTGCAATCTTCTGGACATTTAACTCCAGAAATTCGATTTATGGCGGGGAACAGCTAACAAAACAAGGAGAGATTAGAAAATTACCCATCATTAAATTTACCAGAGAAACCAAGAATGAAAAAGCTTTTTCTTTTACGTAGTGAGCTGAGCTGATTCAAGAACCTACATCAGAGCACTTGGGGATTCCCATAAGCGCTCCATCCCAATCTTCAGCAGCCAGCACAAAAATGTCAGTACCAAAGGTGCCAGTAGCATTCTGATTATACATCTGTTTTACCTTTCCTCTAATTGTCGAATATCGGTCAGATCCACTTGTCACTCAATGCTGCATCACTCTGACCAGACTGTGATGATTCATTTGCTTCTCCAAATTGTACACGTTCTCCCACGAAGCTCCCGACGACGTCTGCCTTATCGTGCATCAATGTTCCATCAAGTTGTGCAGAGCCAGTCAGTCTGTCCGCCTGTTCCTTTCCCAACACATCGGCATAACCCAGAGAAAAGATCAAGACAATGCTCCTCACCCGTGACCTCTGCCACTCTGCACAAAGCATGCCTGCACTTCCACCCCCTTTGCCTCCGCATACTTCCTCGTAGTGAGAATGAACCCAATAATAGAGGCAGCGAGAGCGTGCAAGACACAATTTCGAATAAACAAGAGACAGGAGGAGACTGAACATGGAATGGAATGAAACGAACATAGGCAGAAGGAAACCTAGGAAAGTCGGTTTGAATGAAACACTTACAGCTTGAGACCTTCCAACATCACATGACACCAATAACCGAGCGTGCCCTGGCTCGCCTACCGACAATCTGTTAAAACTTTGGCACTTATAGTCGTAAAGCAGATGCTGGCAACAGAAGAAGAAGAAGCATTTTTATGCGGATAATAACAGGGGTAATAAATCAACAACACGAGGAAATAATTGAAGTTTTCAAATTGTGGTTATATAGACAAAGAGGTTTAGCCTAACCAGAGAAAACAAACATAAATACTGCGCAACGCTGCGACTGAAGAAAGCCTCGCGTCATGATATAAAGATAAGGCAATTAACATAGTTTGACCATTTCAAGAAACTCAGAGCCTTGTTAAATTTGTCTTAGAGGGAATAGTGAAAGGAAGTCGTACATCTAGGTTAATCTGGGTAAAGATTTGACATAACGGCATTCAGGACAACCCCATATGAGCTCCGTCTCCTCAACAGCGAGCCAAGTCTCCTTACTGATGGTATCTGTTGTCATCTGGTTAGCTAACTGACTTGCCTTTGCTCGAGCCCGAGTCTCGAGCGGCGCGCCAAGCGCCAGCAGACAGTCCCTGCTGAAACATTATCTCCAGGTGCGGGTTTTCAATGTCTTCCATTTTACCTTTGACCTCGCCGCCCAGGCGAGAGATCACCTCTACTCTTTGCAGTTGCAGCACACCCCAGGTGGGAACAGTCGAGCCAACCTTTCTGTCTCCTCGTCCCTAAACACTGTAAATGACCTAGGCAAAATATTCACATGACTCTCGTCCCCTACGATCTCTAGACTGATGCTACCCATTGCTTTCACAGAAAACTTTTCACCCCCTCCCCCCTCCCCAAATGGGGCCTCGAAATCTACACAGGGAGTCTGGGAACATCAGATCTAACAATTCTGCTGCCCAAAGAACACCACAGGCCGGTTGCCTTTTCTGGGTTGATTACAGCACTCATCTCTCCACCAGTCGATCGCCTTATCTACGGTCGCCTGTAATTCTTGACATATTTGACCCCGATCTCTCCCCTTCCTAAATACGGGAATATCATCTGCAAATGTCAATATTCTGCCAACTCCAGGTGTTTCCAGGTATGCAATCTTGCTCGTAAAAACATTGAACAGTAGCACCCTTAGAACTAAAGCAAATAGGACAACCTTAAAGATGTCCATGGTTATGCAGAGAATGTCTGAGCTAAAGCAGAACATAGCGACTAGAGTAACGGGGAAACCGGGATGCAGTCTAACAATGGCAATGTTGAAAAAGTGGGAAGAGGGGGGGGGGGGGGGGGGGGAGAGGGGAGATTTGGGTCAGTTTGTATCATGATATTTTTAAAAAAAAAGGTCTTTATCAGTAGTTATTGGTAGCCCAAGAGGTAAAAGGCAAAGGACAGACATGCTTATCAACTCCCCATGGCAGACACTATAAGAAGAAGAAGATGAAGAATTACAATATAATATATAGTAAAGTTAGTAACGTGAGAACACCGGGCAAATGTTTATACTTACAAGTATTCTTCTCTCAAACACAGCTTTCCACCACAAAGAGGCATCTTCCGTAGCTCCAACATACGTCAGGGCTGTAGTCCAGGCGCTTTTCAAGACAGTTTCCATTTTCCATAGGGCTTGTCTAAATCTAGACGCACTTGCAGAATCAGCCTGAACAATAATAAACAGATAATAACTGGGAAGGGGGACATTTAATGATTTAATTGAAATGATCGGTTGAAGTTTAGAAAAGTAAATTATCACCTGTTTATTGCACATTGCTATACCATTGAAGTAAATAAATCATTGTCTCCGAAAGATTCCCAGCAAGTTAACATCATGGGGAATGAATGAACAAGAACTGACATCGCGACACTATGGACATTACCACACGTTCGTTATCTCATTCCCCAGTAGCCAATGAAGAGTTCACATGCTAATCCTCTTTTTCTAATTCTGAATTTAATGTGGAGGGATTAAATGTGACTCCAGCAGAAACTAACTTATGAGGGGACAAGCACAACGTATGTGCAACCACTCTGCTACTAGAACAGTCAGCATTTACATATCAAGACAATATAGATTGAGCAAATTTGGGAAAGCCCGATACTATGATGTCGATACTTAAATCAACTATGATGTCGATACTTAAATCAGTAATCGGTAATTTATTAATGAAATGTCTCCACTTGCCGTCTTACAGCATCCAGTTCATATCCATTTGTCCTTCGTCAAGAGGTTTGAGGTTTGAACAACGGATCAACATAACTGCACACGGGCAGTAACCCGTTCTTTTTCTAACTCAAGTCTGAATCCGAAGAAGCTCAGCAAAGTGCACAGGCTCTGTAGCACTGGCAGGGATCCTGAAATACTTTGGGTAGATTTTAACTCACAATTTTGCCCGGGCAGCGCCCATAGGCTACTCTTTTCGATTTCCAACTGCTGAGGGATTTTTTTCGTGCGCAACAATGCGCATTGGCGTCCCATCTCACTACCCAGAGACCACAAGTTGACATTACTAGAAGTCCAGGGGGAAATAATCCCAGCCTTTACCGGGACTTGAACCCGGGACCTCTAGCACTCATTGCGGACACCATGCCTCGAGACCACGTAGTCCCTCTGTGTCCTTCGTCCTCTGATGCAGAAGCAGTCTGTGGTTTCCATGCTTATGGTTCACAGTAGGAGCAATGATGTGGCTAGAGAATTAGCATTTTTGCCATGCGTGCTTTATAAGTGATTCCATGAACATACTTAGGAAGACAGACAGATTAGTTGGTTTTTTCCACAAAGATCAGTAGACATAGACAAAATGGATTCGAAGAAAATGGTTGGAGTGCCTGAGAAAATCTCGTCGGATAGGAAGCAGATTCATTTTTGTGCCAGGATACTCTGGGGTAAGAGGAAATGAACGAGCGGATTGGCTTGCTGGTAGGTACAGGAGAAGAAGCAATAGACCGGGCCGACATTCTCAAGGCAGGACAAGAAGATGATTCAATTGAAGATGTTGAATCGGCAAAACTCAAAAGACTTACTTCAGGTCAAAAGAGGTGTCGGGAGTCGCCGTAACGAAGCGGCTACACGCTCGTCGCGGATCGAAAGGTTGTGGGTTCGCTCCCTGGTGGAGCCGGACATAGAAAAAAATGACCTTGGCTCCCAGGTCGACCCAGCCTTGAGTGGATACCGGGTGCAGTCCCGGGAAGTAAAGGCAGCCAGCGTGATGCTGACCACATCTCCCATCTTGTGCCGATTGATCTAAAAAATACAGGTCTAGCCCTTTATGCTCTATACGCCTAAAGGCGTGGAAAAGGGTCCCTTACTTTACTACTTTTACAAAAAAAGTGTCGCTAAGCATGAACATTTTACACGTAACCAAAGAAGAATAGTAAACTAACATTCATTCATTCAGTAGCATGTCCCTCGCGGAACCTCGCTGCCATAACAACCCTCCGGAAAACCTTCCTATCATGAGCAAGATGTCCTGCGTCTGATACACCCATCTGGAGATCATCTGCCACATCCTGCACCCATCTTCTCCTTGGCCTTCCTCTTCCTCTCTTCCCAGGCATGTACCCCTCCATTATTGTTCTCTCTAGACTTCCAT